TTCAAGTTGCCCTACCTTGGTGAAAACTGACCACCGAGGACAAGAATTATTTAAACTCACTGGCTTTGCCAGTGAGTTTAAATAGGCAGTACAGTATAAATATTAGAAAAGATTAGGATAAAGTACTGTGGAACATAAAATGTCCAATTAATCTCTCATGCATGTGCACGTACAAAAAAAAAAAAAAAAGTGATAATACTTTGTACAGCTGGTCCTTGTTCCTATTGACAGCGATGATCTTGGCCTTCCGTCCCATTCCTCGGCCATAGGAGAGTCTGAAGTCGCAAACTGCACCAGCCAGGATAATGACATCAGCTTCTTTAAGGGCATCACGACGTTGTTGGCGCATTTGAATAGCACTTTTTCGCCCTGTGAGATTTTCAAAAAAAGCAGTAGGGCTAAAAAAAAAAAAAAAATTTATATACACTTTAAACACATCAGCCATTTCCCACCGAGGCAGGGTGACAAAAAAAAAAATTTCAAAATTCTACACTTTCACCAATAATCATACATAATCAGTCTTGGCAGAGGCACTTAGATACAACAGCTTAGATGTCCCTCCAAACTGCCAATATCCCAAACCCCTCCTTTCAAATGCAGGCAATGTACTTCCCATTTCCAGGACAAGTCCAACTAACCAATTTCCCTGAATCCCTTCACAAAATATTACCCTGCTCATGGTCCAATAGCTCGTCATCAGGTCCCAAAAATTACAGTGGACCCCCGCATAACGATTACCTCCGAATGTGACCAATTATGTAAGTGTATTTATGTAAGTGCGTTTGTATGTGTATGTTTGGGGGTCTGAAATGGACTAATCTACTTCACAATATTTCTTATGGGAACAAATTCGGTCAGTACTGGCACCTGAACATACTTCTGGAGTGAAAAAATATCGTTAACCAGGGTCCACTGTATTAGTCTCCATTCACTCCTATCTAATATGCTCACATATGCTTGCTGGAAGTCCAAACCCCTCGTCCACAAAACCTCCTTTACCCTCTCCCTTCTTCCTTCCTGCCTGCCTGCCTTCCTTCCCATACAGATTTATGGGCTCTCCATGTCATTCTACTTTGATCCATTCTCTCTAAATGACCAAACCATCTCAACCCCTCTTCAGCCCTCTGTCTAACACTTTCATTAACTCCACACCTCCTCCTAATTTCCACACTCCGAATTCTCTGCATAATATTTACACCACACACTGCCCTTAGACAGGACATCTCCACCACCTCTAACCATCTCCTTGCTGCAGCATTCACAACCCAGGCTTCACACCCATGTAAGAGTGTTGGTACCATTATACTTTCATACATTCCCTTCTTTGCCTCCATAGATAATGTTAAATGTGAGTTTGATGTGGAGAGAACATGAACCCCAAACATGCACTATAATCATTAAATTGCACAGGTGCATTATATGTCCCGACCATTCTACAAAAGAATCTGACTGCCTCTCGAGAAGTTCTCGAGTTTAGTACTGCTTTAATAGTAATCTTTTTAAATTTTCATCGGTGAACAACATGACAACTAGGTAACCCCACTCATTCACAAGACTGAAGGAGAAAATCTACAAAAAGAGAAAGGTTGGCATGAAATTAGATAATCTAGTACAAGAAAAATTTGCAAATTACAATACATTAAATAGATTATACTACCAAATATCAGGTGATTTTTACTAAATTCATTACAAAATTTTTTAAATAACAAATCAGTAAAAGGTGTTAAATATTCAAAATTATTACTCTGCCATTTAAACTTTTATATCCTAAAATTAAAAATACAATCACAGCACTACAAAGTTTCCAAGTATGGAATGTAAATCTATAAAGCACTAAATTTTTTGAACTGTATTAAAACTATCAAGTAATAGTAGCTCCTTTCCCTCTACAATAAAATATATCAGAGTGGAAAGTTCACACTAACCAAGCAAGCCTCGAGACATTCCTCCAAGGAAACAGGGAATGCCCAGAGTCTCTAGCGAGCGACGCAGATCTTCTACAGGAGTTGGAGGAAGAGTTGCCTGACTACCCAAGAGAATCACAGGCTTCTTTGACCGGGACACTACTTCTGCACACCTATTCACTATAAAACAAATTTGCTACAATTTATAAATATCATTAGAAATGCATGATAAAAGATTATAAATTATTCATTAAGAAATGTTCCAACAAACTAAAATAATGCAAGAGCCATCTGCAATACAAACCTAAATCACTGGAGGCAAAGGGAATGCTGACTTTAAGGGGCTTGGTGTCTTGAGGTTCCCACGCACCAGCATAAAGATTGTCCAAATAGTTTCCAAGGTACCTACCCAGAAAAATTAATGAATGTTGTGGAAAAATTCAAGTTTATATAAAAACTTGACAGAGTTCCTAAAGCAGAAAATTGTTGGCAAAAAACTTTCCAAGGTTTCCAGAAAATAGATAGTATATGTAAGTGCATTAATTACAAAAATATGAAATAGCTTTATAGTAGGACCCCCAGATCCACGGGGATTATGTTCCAAGGACCTGCCGCAGACACCGAAACTATGGAGTAGCAATCCTATGTACATATCATTTTTCATTTACATACATACCTATTACACACAATAAGTAAAGAACTATCACTTTCACTGACGGGAAGCCATTCATGGCTTCTCTTAGGCTTTGAAGAACTTCCAGCATTAGGGTTATTTTTGGGCCACAGTAAACAGATAAACAGCAGATACCAAACCCCCAGATATAGGGGGGGGGGGGTCATACTGTACTAAAGAAATAAGATAAGCCAGTAACAAAACTATTATAAATTTATAGAATAATGTGTAAAATATTCTGCCAACTTGTTGGGGGGGGGGGGAGAGAAGAGAGAAAAAAAAAAAATATTGTTGAATTATGAATGCAAACCAACTGACCCTTTATCAGCATTTAATTTACCTTTTTTTTTTTCAAGTGCAAAGTCTCAAATCAAGGAAATCCCTGACAATACACTAAGTAGATTTCAATAAAATTAAATTTAAGGCAATCCCTGCAAAACCATGACAAGTTTGAAATACCTTATTGGGTTTTGCATCCCCCTACCTAATGTAAACTTAAGATACCAGTAAGTACTGAAACAACCAAAACACCACTAGGCAGGCCTCAAGCCAATTTTTATATCCCTTTCCCTCTGCCCATCAAATCATGTGAGCAAGGACTGCAGTGTTAAGTGGGGAGAAGACTAGGAAGACAGGGATAGGGGAAGAGAATAACAGGGAGAAGACTGAGGAAGATGGGGAGAACACCAGAAAGGAGGAAGGGGGGGGGAGGAGGAAAACTGGAAGAAGAGAAGGACCAATATTACCTGCAGTTACAATGGAGGGCCACACCCATCGGGCTGGTTTGCGACCAGCCTGATCTACCGAGCTGTTGGCATTAGCCTTTTGTAGACCAGTGCATGGACCATAGCCTGGCTGATCAGGAGCCAACTTTGAGAACTTATAAGTTTCCTCTTGAAGACAACCAGGGTTTGTTGGCAATTCCCATAACTCTTGAAGAGAGGGTGATGAGCCTTGATTTACTTACATTTTTTTTTTTAGTACATTCCATTTTACATTGGAGGTATTTTGCACTATCTGCCAAGTCTCTTGCTTTCATATGGAGTGATTTTAGTGTGTAGGTTAAGGACCAATCTCTCCACAATTTTCCAACTGTGGATTTTGATGCATCTTTCTTGCCTATGCTAAAGGAAGTTCAGTTTGAGGGGGGCTTCAAGCATTCCCAGTAATAATGGTACAGAGTAGAGATGCATCAGATATCTGCATCCGCAGAACATCCGCACAATTTCTTGCATTCGCATCTGCATTTTACTGTAAACAGACATCCGCATCCACAAAATAAGTAAAACATCCTCGTACACATCCACATACACTGATACCTAAATTTTCACATCCAATACATCTCTACTACAGAGCACTTGGTTGAACATAGATATGAGCAGTGACATTCTGTACATTTTATAGCTCTGCAATTTTTTGCTTGCCTTAAAAGAATATTCCATTACTTTAGCCACTTTCATCTTCAATGTTCAATTATCCAGTCTATCATTTTCCTATACTGTTCACACAGCCACTAAATTGGAAATTCAGGGAACTGGACCTATGATATGGTACCCAATTTTATTTACTCCTGAAAACAATGAAATACAGAAAACCATAATGTTAAAAGCAAGGAATCAGGATTTTTCAACACCCTTTTCAAAAATAATGGAAATTAACAATACTTTTTATCAAGGGAGAACTTTATAAATCTTTCCTGGCACTTTCTAATCAGACAGATTGTGGTACTTTTATTGTCTCCAACTAGCACTATAGCCTGACTGATGAAGACAACATGGAGGCCTGATTCAATACCAGGCTGCAGAAATACAATTCCAAAAATCATACTGAAATGGAAGAAAGCCTGATTTGAGCGTTGTTCCTGTAATTCATCAATTCCCCTACCCTGTCAAGGATCATTTATTTTAAATGTCTTCCTGTAACTTTCCACGTCATAGGTACTACATACATGAAAAAAAGAAAAAAAATAGTGAAAGACAAATCAACAATTAGCAGTGGGTGTTACACTGTCTTACAAAACTTACCAGTTAATGATTCTTTGCATCAATGATTTGCCTTCCTCTTTCACACCTAGTTCTTTTGACACCATATCATATGGGTATAAAACATCAATTGGGAACTCTATGAACACTGGACCTGAAATATAAACAAATTCATTTATAATGATACAGCAAGATCTCTCATAACAGCAGTTTGTTCCTGAAATTGGTGCTGTATATAAAATCATGCTATGTAATACAGTGGAACCCTGGTTTTTGTCCTTAATCCGTTCCAGGTGGTCAGTCAATCTGAAATGGACAAAAACCGAAGTAATATTTCCCGTAAGAAATTATATAAATCCAACTAATCCGTTCCAGACACCCAAAAATATTAGCAAAAAAATGCATTTGAGAGAGAATAACTATAGTTTTACATACAGAAAACAATGAGAAATAAATATAAATGACTAATTTTAATGGATAAATGAACATTTAATCACTATTACATACCTTTATTGAAGACTTGTTGGCATATGGAAGAAGGCGAAGAGGGGAGAGGGAGAAGTTATTGTTTGGAAGGGCAATCATCCCTCCATAAGGACTTAAGGTATCAAAACCCTATCTGGGGTTACTTCCCTTCTTTGTCTTTTACTGGCACTAGAACCAGCTCGAGTCACTGGACCCCTGTTGCACAAAAAATCTGTTCAGAGAGCTGTTTCTGGTGTCCCACACGTATGCCACTTCCGTATTTTGCTAGAAGCTCTTCCTTGAATTTTGTTGTGTTTCTCACCTTTACCAAAGGGCTGGCACTAGGAACTTTCTTTGGTCCCATGGTGGCTTATTTCACAGTAGCACTCAAGCACAAAAAACAATGGATTATTATGAAATGTTAATGTTTTGGATGAACGTGTCGAGTATTCCTCACTGAATGAGTAACAGGCAGACTGAGTCTCGTACGTTTGAGTGGCTGCATCCCAGGTGGGCGAACACATCCGATACGGACGATTTCCGAGCGGAGGTATGAAACCTGGGGTAAAATTTCACCCAAAAAAAGTGGTTGAAATCCGAAGTGTACGATATCCTCACCGGATGAGATCTGAGGTTCCACTGTATATGCATGAAAAAGAGTTAAGTACATCTGCAACAGTTGGGTATCTACTGTTGAAACAATTTGCCTACATGGTAGGTTTCATCAGTCAAATACAGTGGACCCCCGGTTAACGATTTTAATCCGTGCAAGAGGGGTAATTGTTATGCGAAATAATCGTTATGTGAATGAATTTTCCCCATAAGAAATAATGGAAATAAAATTAATCCGTGCAAGACACCCAAAAGTATGAAAAAAAAATTTTTTACCACATGAAATGTTAAATTTTAATACACAAAAACTGAAAAAGGCATGCACACTTACATGACACTTACTTTTATTGAAGATCTGGTGATGATTGATGGGATGGGAGGAGGGAGAGTGTCGAACTTATTGTTTTTAGAAGGGAATCCACTTCCATTAGGACTTGAGGTAGGAAGTCCTTTTCCGGGGTTACTTCCCTTCTTCTTTAATGCCACTAGGACAGCTTGAGAGTCACTGGAACTCTTGTCGCCACAACAAATCTGTCCATAGAGCTCTTGCTGTACCTCCCGTTCCTTTACGATTTGTCTAAAATGAGCCACAACATTGTCATTTGAAAATAGTCAACCAGCACGGCTTGCAACAGCTGTGTCAGGGTGATTTTCATCCATAAAGGTTTGCAGTTCAACCCACTGTGCACACATTCCTTAAGTTTTGAAAGTGGCACAATGGATTCCACAACTGGCATAGGGCTTCTCAGGGTTAGCCCCAACCTTCAAAATCTTTCTTAATTTCCTACTAATTCTCACCCTTTTTACAACAGGGTTGGCACTAGAAGCTTTCTTGGGGCCCATGGTCACTTATTTTCCAAAACAGCACCGAAATCACTGTAATAATACGAATGTATTTTTTTTTTCCGAAAGTTTGGTTTATGCTTGGATGTTACGCGGAGGCTGGCTGGGTAAACAATGCACGGGCGGCACATGTGAGGCTGCTGGAGGGCGCACATTGGGGACGGCGTCTCGGACGAAAATCGGTGAGCGGGTTTTTTAATCGGTTATGCGCGGCAAAATTTTGCGATTTAAAGTAAGCGCGTTATGCGGAATAATCGCTATGTGATGCCTCGTTATGCGGGGGTCCACTGTACAGAGGAAAATGTTTTGTGGGCAGCACGAGTAGTAGGTTCTAGGTTGGTAGACAGCAACCATTTGAGGAAGTAATACCTTCATACAAAGCGAGTGCAAAAAGGAAGCCTGTATTTGTTTTACATGATGGTATGATTGCTGGTGTCCTTTTTTTTATGTCTCAAACATGCAAGATTTCAGGCCAGTTTGTGCTTTACTTAAACTTAGTACATAACATACATGTACAAGCATATATATATACACACACCCTCCTGGGTTTTCTTCTATTTTCTTTCTAGTTCTTGTTCTTGTTTATTTCCTCTTATCTCCATGGAGAAGTGGAACAGAATTCTTTCTCCATAAGCCATGCGTGTTGTAAGAGGCGACTAAAATGCCCGGAGCAAGGGGCCAGTAACCCCTTCTCCCGTATAAATTACCTTAAAATTATAAAGAGAAAACTTTATGTTTTTCTTTTTGGGCCCACCTGCCTTGGTGGGATACGGCCAGTTTGTTGGGGATGGGGGGGGGGGGAGTGCTGGTGTTTTTTTTCTGTCTCAAACATGCAAGAGTTCAGATACATCTTGCTACTTCTACTTAGGTCACACTACACATACGTACATGTACACGTTTATGTATACATGCTCGCCTGAGTTTTCTGATTTGATCTTAATAGTTCTTGTTCTTATTGCTTTTCCTTTCACATCCAAGGGGAAGTAGAATAAGAATCTTTCCTCAGTAAGCCATGTGTGTTGTAAAAGAAAACTAAAATGCCAGTAACAATGGGGTTTGTAAAAGTAAATGCTAAGGTGTTGGGGAGAGGAGTCAGATTAAATTATGGGGAATACAAAATGGGAGTTGACAGTTTTTGTTGATACTGTGCTAATGGGAGTGTATAAATCTGTAGGGAAAGGAAGACAGGGTAGGGGTCGTCCTCGAAAAAGTTGAAGGGAGGGGGTAAAGGGCTTGGACTTTCATCAAGCATGTGTGAGCATGTCAGATAGCTGGACTCGAGTCCTGGAAATGGGAAGTACAATGCCTGCACTTTAAAGGAGGGGTTTGGGGAAAAAGTAAAAACAGGGATATTCAAAGAGCATGTGTGATACATGATCTCACTTAAACTACAGGCAAAATTTAAAACAAATATGCACAAAAACCACCTAAGATAAAATTTTCTGAAACAAAAATTGCTAGCAAGAGCCAACACAAACTATATTGCATCAAAATACAGAAAATTAAAGAAAACTTGCATCAGTTTAAAAAACTTTAAATATTGATTTCGAAAGCCCCTCAAAGTTCTTCAGGTTCACTACAGGCACCCTTTTGTATTCATCATACACAACTTTAAAAGTCTGAAGCCATTACCTCACTTAAAATATGTTTCACAGTCACCAGCAGTCAAAGAGGAGTAGAAGTGCCTGCAAGCAGATGGCTCTTTGCAAGGTGTGCTCCTGATCTTCAATCTACAGAGAGCACTCACAGTGACAGTTCTTGTTATAGAACGAGGGCTTAAGACTAGCCTCCAAACACTTCAAAACTCTTTGCTTTCTAATCGTTTCCTCCAGGCTTACCTATCTCCAAGGGCATACCTATGTATATGGCCCACACCCTTGCAAGGCAGACAACTGTTACAGAACAAATTTTTCATAGAAACCATCACCTCAGTATCTGCCAGTTCATTTTCTAGGATATGAACATTTTTCAGGCACCCACCCGACATCCTTGTGCTAAATGAGAGTTGTGGATAGACACTAATCTTTTTGAAAACAAATGGGAATTGACAAATTACACACCTAATGCCTGTGCAATTAAAGTATAGTATGTTTTCATTATACAATTTCATTCTTCTTAAATAATGGTTTAACTCGGCAACCTCTGCCATCAAAATCTGCCAAGATATTTTGCATTTTGCTTTTAACAATTATGTAAACATAAGGCAAGTGGTTAAGAAAAGCTCATACATCACTACTAAAAAAAAGTTTAGCTCGCATGTGATTTGGATGGGTGCCTCTTCTGAAGTGTCCCACATCCCCCTTTTTCTCCAAGGAGAAAAAGAAGACTATAACCCCTTCATGCTCAAGAGTACCCTCTGCCTTAAGCTGGAGTCTTACTCTATTTCTAAAGAAAATGAAGTCTAAGAGTAAACCCTCAATACAAAGGACCTCGATAATGCACCTTAATACAGTGGACCTTGAAATAACAGGCAAAATTTTGCTGGGTAAATTGTATGTTTAATGCTAATTTTCAATGTTGATCGCAGTATGTCCATAAATTGTGTGTAACGTGTTAGGTATGCAGGAAGGCATTGGAGTTTTTTTTTTTTTTATCAAGGAACCTTCCTTAAGGGGACATGTGCAACAAAAACCTTGACTTAAGTAGGCCTACTTAACCATATGAGACCTCATTTCATTTCTATGTCAATGCCTCAGTGACTTTCTACTCATCTCTCCAGAATATATGTAGTATACAGTAGGGCCCTACTTACATGGCACGATAGGTTCTAGGCTACTGCCAGAAAGCAGACATCGCAGGAAAGCATAACGCCATTTTTTCCCACTTATAAATGCATATAAATGCCAGGTAACAATTTTACACTAACATATTACATTAGCAATAGAAGTAGGCATTAAAAACAATAAAAAGTAAAATACACACACACAGTACACCCATTACTTACCTTAAAATATTTGTAGTCTTAATGTAGGGCGAGAGGCGACTTATTTGTAGGTTTGGGAAGTATGGAATCCAGTCAGGGAAGCCCTCCCCACCCCACCCACACAATGTAAACAAACCAGGCGAATAGGTTTCTTTTTCGTCACTTTACATTGTGTGTAACTTGTCTCCACGTTGATACAATAAACAGAAACACTCTGATTCTCATGTAACGCCATTTTTAGAAGAAATGATGCCCTGAGTGAAGGCATACTTAGGTAAAGATACACACAAGTATAATTATCAGTTAGGTAT